TCAATACGGATGTCTATTGAAAGGAACAACCACCATTCCTCTTGGGTGATAAGATATGGCTACTTTGTCATAATATCAAGACTACTTATTCTTGTGACAAATTGGACTATTGAAGACTTTGACCATTTTCTATTTTTAGATAAATCAATCTAGTTGCATATCGTTTACATCTACCGGAGTCAATGAAAATCCATCTAGTATTCCACGTGTCTCTTCTTGAACCATACAAGACAGTGGACATACTAAAAAGACGATGAACTCTACTTCCTCCTATAGAAGTGTACAACAATGAAGAGTTTGAAGTATAAGAAGTCTTAGATTCAATGCGACGTCGAAATAAATTGGAATATCTTGTCCATTGGCATGGATATGATATTAGTGAATGCACATAAGAGCCAATAAAGAATCTTGCAAATGCAACAAAGGCGGTGGAGGCTTTTCATCAATGACATCCATCAAAATCAAAATAAAAACCTTCTTTATAAAAGAAATAAGATCTAGGCAAGATAACATTCTACTTTCAATCCTTGTTCATAGCTTCTTTGTAGTTGTGATGCTCAGGAGATGGAAAACCAACAACCAGCGGATTTGACTCAAGAGCCTTCATTTGTTGACCTGCCAGACGAGACATTACGATTATCTCAACCTTCAAGACGACGCAATCGAGATAAAGATCTTTAAGAACGACATATACTTCCTCGAATAGATGGAATTATACAACACGTTTGGTATCACAACCTTGGAAGGGACTCCTGATGTTTGGTGATTTTACTAGAGGTAGGAACAACTCTTGATGGTGTTCTAAATATTTTATTCGAAGAAAGTTATGAAGGCCTCAATAATGATCAAATAATTGGGTGGTCTTCCCGCCCTAGTATGGGACACTACCGATGGTTGAGAGGCCCTATCAGTCATCTTCAAAGAGAACAAAGATCAGAATATGTGACGAATACAATTCATCGCATCATAGATTTTTTCAACATATGGTGACCGCTCCTTGTAGAACTCGTACCTAAAAGGGGGGTAATGTCACGGACATACTCATGTAAGCTAGTAATTACATATACAAATAGGTGGAAGTAAGTAAAAATAGATAAAAGTAAATTAATGCTATAGTATTTAATATGGAAGCTTTCTAAAAGCTTCATAAATACTGCTTTGACTTTATAGGTGTCTTTAATTGACTTTTTGGATTAGAAACGTCGTCAATAAGTTGGCCATGTGCCACACATGTTGTTAGCTTGAAGATCAAGCTAACTATGTAGCCCACATGTAAAAAAACTTGCCTTGTAAGTCAAGGCATGTGTCCTACAAAGTCAACACATATTGGAGGTCCTATAGATTGTCGCTACATAGCCCCTAGTTAGATAGTATATATAGAGACAAGAGTGAAGCCCTCTTCACTCTTGTCAACTCCTTTCTTACTTCTAGTCTTGTTTTAAGGGTCTCTAGTTTTCTTGTCTTTTGGCAATAGCCATTCCAGTTTCTCTTTCAATATACATACTTATTTATTTGTATTTTGCTACCTTTCTTTGAGTGAAGGCTTACTTGTCTGAATTTCTTTTTTATTGAGTTCTTGTCCTTGACAAGTCCTGACTGTACAAACATTGCATGTTTATATTTTATGATGGAGCATGTATACAATTTTTTCATTTTTGTTCCCTCTTCGAAATAAAAGACATTTGCTCCAACTATGGGCATCAAATTTCTAGTTTGCCTAGTTGAAGATTTTTTAATAAAAAATTGTCTATTCTATATGATAGTATGTATTATTGTACAATCAATGAACGTATCATTTGATTCATTATTAGAGATTTTGTCATTTATATAAGCCTTTAAATCATCAATATCAATTGAGTCTATAGATGCATCCATGATATGAATTTCATAAGCCTTAGCTTGAAGTTTTTTATTTTTTTAGAATATTTTAACTAAGTTTTTTGAAATATGGCACAAATGTGCTAAATGTCCAATCATGCCACATTTATAGCAAGAACACATCTCTGATTTTTTTTTCTACTATAATTAATAATAGAATATTTATTCTTTCCATATAGGTGGAAATGGTCATGACCATGACTGCCTCGATGCTTATGAACACCTTTCTTATGTTTATATAATTTTTTCTTAGACTTTAAAATATTAAATGCATGATATTCTAGAACTATGGTTTTAATATGATGAGCTTCTGCATTATGCAAAAATAGCTCATTTTATTTCTCTACAAGAAATAGATAGGACATGAGATCAGGATGACTCTAAAATTTCATGTTCATATATTGTTATGCAAATACAATAGATATGAGAGGAAATGTAGATAGAATTTTTTCAATCACTTCTTCTTTAGAGATGTTTTATTCATAGAACCATAGTTGTAAGACAATACGATATATTTTACTATTGAAAGCATTTAAATTTTAAAAATCTAAGACACATAAATGTGTCAAATCATGACATGCATGCAGAAGGAAAATAGTCTTTTGACGATTAAACCTGAATTTAAGATTCTTCTAAAGCTTGATTAGATCTTCCATTTTTGAATATTGATGTTGCAATGGAGGTATAAGATAATAACAAATGAAAAGAAGTATTTTCTAATGGATAGTAAGACAAATAAAAATACTTACAGTAGCAGATTCTTCAAATAAAATTGCATCCGAGAGTTGTTCAACAAATAAATTGCACAATTCATTGTACACCCTTGTGCAATGTTATAGCAACAACAAACGACAAATGGTGACAACAATAGTGACTACGGATAGTGGATGGTGATTGCAGATAATGATAGCAATGGCGATTTGGCGGCATGATCATGAAGGCAAGTAGAAGCAGTAGTAGCCGGTAGGATGTAGCAAGCAATGAGCATGCAAGGCAATGTAATGTAAGAAAAAAAAATGAGAAGGCAAATGGCAAGGTATATACAAGTTTTTAAGAATCAAGAGTAGTGCACAAGAGCAATTGTATTAATAATGTCTTGAGAATGTTTAAAAAGACACAAGAGTAACTAGAATTAATGTGAATACACAAGAGAATATATAAAAGGAGAGAGAGAGATAGAAAGAGAGAGAGAGCTTCTAAAAACCCTGTATTGATGTGGTTGTCTCACTTGAATACAAAGAGAAGGAGAGAAGATAAACAGTTTTTTTCCACTACATTGCACTATAGCTACATTAAATATTGTAACTATAGTGATTATTATGGAGAGTACCAACTACATTTAATGCTCTCAACATGTATTATGGCTTTTAGAAACAACCCATTAAATATTACTTGAATAATAATAATAATAATAATAAACTTGGACTGAGATATTGGATAATATATACTGATTGGCATAATTAATTAGTGTGGTAAGTTTTCAATATTCATGGTGATGTAATATTCAGTGATACAAATTTCATGCAGACTTTAAAGCATTAAATATTTTAAATCCTAATACAAACATTTTATTCGCAAGGATGTACTAAATGCATTATTCTGCAGTCCGTAAAATTGCCTTCTCAAGAATAAAAAAACTGCACGTTCATTATTCTTTTACAGCGATTCAATAACAAATGATCAAAGAACTTAACAAACACGATATAAAAATATGCACAAGTGTCAGAAGCAAGGCCACAAACCTCACGGATTAAAACCCAATCCTAGTAAACTTAAAAAGATTAAAATAATAAAAAAGAAAACCATGTTCTAGAACTACACTACCTGACAGGGTTTGAAAACCCGCATTCCACCCCCTGAAATAATATGGAACCAGAATATTAATTTTACTTCGTTGTTTTGTCGTGAAAGTGCACGAGTGCACAAACCCACAACAAGCAATGTCGGCGAATTCAAGTATTCTAGTGACTCAACATCCTACTGTTATAGGTTTCTTCTTTTTCTTATTCTTTTTCTTCACCGCAGCAGTAGAAGTATAACCTGATTGTCGGCTTTATGGTGAGGATAGCTGCATCGAAGAGGCGGCACGAATGCCTCGTCGGAGGGTGGGGCGGGCAATTCTGGCATGGATGCGGGAAGGCAAATCAAGCAGATCAAGGGGGGCAGTAGTAATTGATGGGGGGACTTCTTCTTCTTCTTCGTCTTTTTCTTCTTCAGGCATGATGGACTCCTGAAGGCAGGAGAGCTCTCTATCTTTTCCTCATGAAGACGAGATACTTCGCTTTGGCCTTCAAAGCATGAAGACAGTAAAGCGTGTTTGCAAAAGGAGAAAGCGAGAAAGGAAGTAAAAGCCGCTTTTGCTACAAGACACGTGATGACAAACCTCGCCACCCTAGTGTTCGTCCATATCTCGTAGGAAGCCAAATAGCATTGTAACCCCACAAAGGTACTACAACCGTGGTTATTGCTCCATAACGCGACATGACCTCCACAAATAAAAGAAAACGAAAATGTCTAGTAATTGCATGGGTTTCTGTCGGTTTTGGTTTTGGTTTTGGTTTTATCCCAGACTTTTTGTGTTTCTCTTTGTTGTTGTTGTTGTTGTTGTTGTTGTTGTCATTTTTCATAGTTCCTGCGTAGGGACACATGTGGTTCGAGTTGGTGGGTGTTTTTCTCACTGTTGCTGCGATCCTCACATGGTTCTTAACCTCCACCTTGGATTGGATAGGGTTGCAGAAATACTGTTCATGGGATTCCTTCATCAGAATTTCTCTTTATTCTTGCTTGAATAATTCATTTTTAATCGTGTTTAATTTTTTCATGAGGTAGTGTTGAAACAGTAACTTTCCACATGCTAGAAGGTGGGTCACAAGTTGGCAACGGCTTTCTGAAATTTGGAGAATCGAGATGATGGACCCGGTAATGGATAGAGCGATGAAGGGTTCAGATGAGTTATGCCCCCCTTTCTTACTTTTCAGACGCTGCGCATTGCTGCATCGAGAGAAGCCACCCATCTCCTTAAGTCCAACCTCAAAATCCAACGGCAGACAAACGCTAACGAGACCTCTTAATGAAGATAAGACCGCAGCGAAAGCCAATTAGAGTTAACGAGAAGTCCACAATCCGCACTCTCCATGGCATCCTTTTCCACACCGGTCAATATGACGATCGTAGCAATAACTGCGTTGAAAATGGCCACTGTAATCAGCGGTGCCAGGCCCTGGGGCGCACGTACCCACGCAAAGGGGACTGATATCTCATCCCTGCTCCTGCTCCTCCGCCGCTGCTGCCCTCACAACCAGGAAAGTCCTTCTGCTAAATCCGGCCTTTGCTTTTAATATAGTCTTCCATTGCGTCGTCGCAGTAATGGCGAGCTCAATCAGCGGCGGTGGAACCTGGACAAGGCTGCTGATGCGGTGGAGTCGGAATTTATGAGCAGGCGCGTTCACGGCATGGGCGCCACCACCGATTGTCTGTGTGCCGAGGATCTGCGGTCTCTGCATCACATTCCGTTATCGCTCCCCTCCGGAGTTGATGTGGTCTGCCTGGTTGCTGTTGCGCAATGCTTCCATCGTTCGAAGGTTATGCGCAACAGAACCTGTCTTTTTTAGAATGGTTGCTGAATTATACATGATTTTCTCATGGAGAACCATTGTATCGGTAGCAAATATACCAGTAACGCATTTCAAAAAGAAAAAAGAAAGTCTTCCTAATAGTAAACAAACCACAGTTGCGGTGTATCCGTGACACTAAGGTCCGTTGAAGGCTCAAATCACTTTTTTTTTCTTCTATCTTTGTGATTTACAACCGATAATGAGCGGACTCCAGTTTATTGCAGTTTTTTAGTATTCTGCTCATGAATCATTATTTTACTGCAGAATATTAAACATAACATACCATATACTGATGGGAAATATTATGTGAGACCTATCCGTGGAACTCCACACGATAACGAAACAACACGAGGCCTTCATGTCTTCGCCCGAATGCACCGTTCCCGAGCCCAATACAAACAACGGCCCACAGCACTAGAACCACACAAGCACGAGGAGATTTGGCCGAGAATTTTTGCGATTCCAAAACCACCAAGCAACACAAGGCGACCAACAGTTGCAAGGGCGGGGTGTAACGACGCCACCGCAGCAGCAAATCTAGACATACGTAGAGTTTATGGACGGCACGACAGAAAGCCTGATCGCCTTGCGCCTGGACGGCATGCGGCAATCCGCGACCTCAAGGATGAAAGCAGTGGCTATGGTTCGGAGGGCAATTCTGCTATGGCCCTCGCCCGGACGCTTGGATTTTCACTGACATCGACAAAAGGAACCGCCGGTGCGGCAACAACCATTCCCACCGGGAGGGCTGCCTGTCTTACGCCCATTTTTTGGTTTTTCCTCCCCGTTGGCGTTTTCTCCAGGTTGTCTCTTGGGGTTTCAACAGATTTGCTGCTGCGACTGTGGTCCTGGGCGGAGAGTCATCGTCGTCTTCGATCGATAGCCCCTGTTGGTCCACGAAGCTTCACGGCAAGCACTTTTAAAAGAAAGAATGGAGAGTCCGTTGGCTTGTTCGGGTCGCTGCGATCGCTTCGTCTGGAGCTGAGCCTTATGATTTGGGAAATTTTGAGAAATTTTGAGAAATTTTGAGCATGCTGAAAATTTCTCTGTCCAAACTGGAAATGGCCCACTTGCCCTTCAACTGCCATAACTGCAGTGGATATTCGAATCCCGTGTCTCGACTCTAACTTGTCTGGAGTGGCTTGTAACTTCCACGCTCCCTCTGAAGTCGGAGAAACCGCTAGAAGTGCGGGCCTCACAAAAATTGCTACTGATACTATTCTTGGGGGGCCTGCCCACGCTTTTTGATTAGAAGTAAAGAGGACAAATATTAATTGTTGCGATATTATTTTCTTTCCTAGTTAATGAATTCCTAAGAGACGGGCTCGTAAATCTTGCAAGGACCACAGGATGGGCTAAAAACCAGCTTTTTCCCGACAACATCTATATCTTGCGACATAAATATAAATAAAAATGTAAGTTCAGTTGTACTCTCTCGTCGAATGCAATGGAATAGTATCAATATTAATTATAAAGAGGTATGTGTGGAAATCTTATGTTAATGTCTTGTTGATTTTCAGATGCATTGTTTCCTATGCCTCTGTCCCGAATCTCGGTTCCCTATCTAATCCTAGTCCACATCCTCAACCAATGGGGACTTCTATTGAATCCGCAGTCTTCACGCATAAAAAGCTTTAAATTAAAAACATATTATAAAACTACTTCTTATTTTCGATGTATTCGGGTTCCAGCCAGAATAGAAAATACTCTACTGTAGGACTGTAGAACATTTCTCGAAAGACCAAAATTTATTTTGAGGAGAACCACCCTCGCTATTCGTACTGGGCATTTCAGCAGTGGCACGTCCTCCCTTGACGATGACTTGGCCGAGTTTTTTTTTTCGTGTTGTTTTGTTTTGTTTTGTTTTTTTTATTTTACAGAGTCCATGAGTCTAACTATGAAACTATTCATTTTTCGTTCATACCCTCGCTTTTCATCGGTATCGCGAGAGCCTGTGCCCTTCATGTCAGCTGCTATAGATCACGGAGGATGCTTCTCCGCCGCCCACCCGCGAGTTGAAGCAGAAGTTTGCGGTTGCCGGATCGGATCGATCGGAGCGGGCGGGAAAAGTCCAGCGACAGTTTCGCCATTGGCCGTAACTGCAATTATCATACATTTCCTGGGATACAAACCGCAGAATCGCAATCGAGTGGAGAGTTCGGTGCTTTACAGCTTTGAAGAGTTAGTGTATGTGCACGGAGGTCATAAGGCATTAGTGTTGTCAGCCTTGTGCTGCTACTGCAGGTCAGTGGTTGTGTCCGCGCGAGGAAATCACCGGTGGGTTCCAGGAGTCCTCGGTGTAGTGTACTGCTGCGCAGCGACAGCTGCAAGCTTAAGTTGACCCGTGTTCTTCGTTCGCAGTTTTCATTCAATGAGGTGGTCATTGCATTGTGGACGGATAGCTTGACAGTATTGGCAGCTAGGCTGAGGAGTGTGGTACAGGCGTGTACCTCGGGGGGTTGTTCCAGCTGCATTTATTGTCAGTTCCAAAGACGTGCTAGAAGTGGTTTAGTTACTCTCGTCATCACGACCGGGACAAGGTACCAAACGGTCGAATGTTTCACGTCTTTCAATGAGCGAGGGAGTGCACGCTGATGGTGCCAGATTGAGGTCGTAGAGAGCGCGTAAGGTGTGTACGTTGTGCAGTTCCGCTACATCTTGCAGGTTGTAGAGCGTAGTTCTTTCCGAAGAGAGTAAGAGTTAGGTTATCCTAGCAGTCGAACCTAATGCTGTTCCGCCTAGATATGTAGCTGGAGTTCTCGGAGGGGTTTGTGTCTAAATTTCGGGGTTAGATATGGCGTCCTTCACTGGCGACACTGGGGTACTGCATATTCCGGCTAGTTCCCCATATCGTCGCGACTATCAGCTTCGGAGCTGTTCGAAGACGGATACAGAATGTGATACGAGTATGCCTCAATCACCATGGCTTCCACGTACGGAGACTTTCAGTGATGAAGAAAATCTATTTAGACTTTTTGAGTATACTCCTGTGGGTATCAACCGATCCAATTTCAGAAGCGGTCCCCTTCCTGTCGCTACGCACGGGATGAGAAGATCTTACAACAGCGGCCCTCTTCCTTACTGTCATAGTCCTCTTCCATCATACTTCGGTGGTCCTCCTTCTAATTTTAACACGATTGAACGTCAATTGAGTGACATTTCCTCGGCCGGAAAACCTGAAGTTGGTTCTAGATTTAGAGAAGATGAAGAAGATGCAGAGATGTCTGCAGGAGAGGGCGAGGACGACGAGGTTGATGGAGTAAGAAATGTGCTGGACTCATCTCACCTTAGCAAGACAGTGGAGAATTGCTCGCCGTCGACATTGAGCTTGGGTGCTATGTTGGGAATGCCGAGACCGAATGATAAGTCTCGTAATCCCGTTAGTGAGAAGATGGGCGTTAACTACGAGAAAACTGGAGTTTGTGGAGGAAGCAAGAGTGGATCGCTTGCTGAACCGAACAATTGCCCTAATAGAATCAATCAGAGGACGGGGACCAGAAAGCATGGTGCAGATGTGGAAGTTGGTGCAGTAGCAGGTGCTCTCAAGCATCAATCATCAGGCTCTACAATCAGAGAGACTGCAAACAATTCTAAGAACGAGAGCTCCAACTCCGGGTTTTCTATGGTGGCAATTCCATTCAAGTGGGAGGATGCTCCTTTCTCAACAAGAAGAAATGTGGCGAAGAAGTCTCACTTGCGCATATCATCATCAAGCCCAGCACTGTCAGGACTGAGCGTATCAAAGGCGGAAGATTTTCAGGTTAATGACAGCCACAATCTGAACGGTAGGTCGGAACATCTTACTGAAAATGAAGCAAGTGGACGAGGGGACAAATTAGCGGTGGTTCCTAGTAGAAATCCTGTAGCTACTGCAGCCGCGAAATGCTTAGAAGCAGCATCATCCCCGTCAGAGGTGGATGGGTCGGAGGAAGTCGTGTGCTCGGCCGTCCCGTTCAAATGGGAAGAGGCGCCTGGGAAACCAAAGTTGGATGAGAGACCTAGTCCTGAGGCGGCTCCTGCTCTGCAACTGCCACCAAGACTTGCCAGGCTCAACATTATGAGAGGAAATGCACCAACTAGCAGGAGCCACAGTATGTCGGTTGTGTTAGCTAACCGAAGTTGGACCGCAGGCCGTACTTCAAGTGCACCGGCACCTGCTTCGTCTCCTAGCATAAAAATCCTCCGTCTTTTGCCGAAAGAAACACAGTTGCCACTGCAGTCGTCGCCGGGTGAAGTTGAGTCCAGCCACACACGTCCTGCCGCTTTTCGGTCTTGTCCGTTGGATAAAACTGGAAGACCGCATAATCTCCCCCCTATGAAGAAAGCATCAGGCTCGCTATCGGAACATATTTCGCAATTCGGGTCAGCACAACACTTGAGCGGCGAGTTCTCCTGCGACTCATCCAATGTGTGCAACACTGTTCGCTCTCCCACGAGTACACTCTGCGGACCTAGTTGTGATGGCAATTCAAATCCCTCGCCCCGCTCGGACAAAAGCAGTCGTAAGTCTCCTGTGAGTGGGAGCTTCTCCTCCAACTCGCACTCTGTCGAGTCGTTTGAGGCCTGGTCTTGTGGTGATCATTCCAGTCCTACATCCAGGCATATTACCATTCGGGAGACAGAAGTGCAAGGTACTCCGCGCTATGCTTCTGTTGGAGGGCATGATGAAGGTGAAACTGGCCATGGCGGGGCATTAGTCAGGGTGCGTAGTAGGTTGAATCTGAGCTCGTCGAGTTCAAAACCTCCACTTAGCCCAACCTGCGGGAGAAATGTATATATTCCTCGTTCTGTAGACAGCAGTGATTATTCTTCTCACGGAGAGGAATTTTACGACTGTCATGACATTAATGAGTTCCCGCGGTCGCCTTCTAAACCTGAGGAAGAGGTTGATCCCCCGACACGATTACCATACAAAATGCCTTCTCCTCCTCGGGAAGTCTCAGTAGAGCCCGAACTTGCCTCACCAACGAGTGCTTTTCCAGAATTCTCGAATTGTCTCGCATTTCCCAGACTTCTTTCCAAGACTTCTGAATCTGTGTCGAAGGCGAAGTCATGCATTTGGGTGGCAAATCCCTCCTCGGGCTTGGATGCGCCATCAAATTCCATGGAAGACGGAGTCAGGTCTCCAGCATATAAGGCCACTTTAGAGCTATTGTCGCCCTTACCCAACCTGTCGAAAAAAAGCGGTTTTCGAAGTTCAAAGCTTGGGAGTTCGAGCTTGCGGCAACGTCAACCGCATCTTGTTGTAATATTTCCATCTTTACATTCTCGATTTAGTCGTTTAGTGGTGTTGTAACCACCCGTGTGATACCTGCGGCCATGATGCCTATGCATTTGAGACATGATAAGGTTGCCAGTTAAGTGTACCTTACAAGATTGTGTTTATGGCAACAGGAGGCATTCTACAGCTCACTGAAGCAAACAATTCAGAGGTATAGAAAGCGCGGCGTCGCAAAGACACAGTCTATTGTTCGCAACGACGAATTCGCAAGGGTAAATTGCAGAATTCATGTAATTTTTGTATCTCAATGCAGGCTATTGTTGAGATTACCTAATATATAACGCTAACCTTATATTTTCCATGGAATCCCGCACGAGAACTAGCAATTGCTGATTACTTTGAAAACACCGTACCCTGGATGAGGTTAGAGTGGATGGTGGACTAGACCACAGATAAATTTGTAGTATGCTGAATCACAATCTGACCCCGTTCCTTGTGACTGCTGCAGAGACACCAATCATTCATGTGGTGAAATCTTACCAGATTAATTCTGAAGAGGAGTATGTATGCGTTCTTCAATCTTTCTCTTCGATTGAAAACACAAATGTTTGCCTGGATCAATTCAACTTCACCAGCACATACTTTTCGAGCGCCCTGAATTGGATTGTCTATGTGTTCGCCTTCGAAGGTGAACACCATCTTTGACAGATTCGGAGTTAAGCATGCAATCCTGAAATTCCTCGAGCAATGCCCTGCTCTCGAAGCTGATAACCTGGTTTTGATGCTGTTTGCCAATTCCTCCCCGCTTCAATTATCCGGTGTACACCGACGGTACTCTTGATTGTTGCGAGATTCTTATGAAATGTTTCGTCACCGCGGCATACTTAGCTGAGAACATCGAGTGCTGTAATATAGACCACATAGTAAATAATTAGAGAAATTTCATGTAGTGCCGTCCTCTGACTCGGGGGACAGAGCACTTTTTTGATCCAGCAAGATAGGGATGCACCATGGGACCTGCGTTTTCATTACGATGGTCCACATTGAGTGCGTAGCTTCCGTGAGAGTTAGCAGTCAACAGTACACCAAAGTCACTGCGAGTGGTAATCTACCTCGAGCCGAATGTACGCTTGAGTTGAGATGAATACCATCACCGAAATCATATCTTAACTGCAATGCCTCCCATCACTGAACAACTAGTACACTCAAATACCTAGTACTCCAATCATCCGTAACTATCCAAAAATCCAAAATGAGAACAACTGCACACATCAGTCCCAAACAACAAAAAGACCCGATTCGATGCTTTTGCTCTACATACCGAGATGTGTTTTCGAACTGAATCTGAGCCGGACTGGCCAGATACCGACATGATCAGCGGTAAAATCCGTCGACTGAAGTAGATGTGGAAGTTTCGCAACGTAGCTCATTACAGGAGCCGATCTGAGTATTGTTTCGCATTCAAGTTTCAATTGGGTACCGAGATCCATCTACACCCGTGATCGGAACCGAACTGATGTATGATCGAAGCCGATTGGGGGCTGTCGGTGGAACCCCAGGTCAGTAACAACAGTATGCGATGCGGCGTTTCATGGCTTTCAGTTTCTATCAGTTCTTAGCAGATCGGCATCACACTAGTAGTGGTTTCATTCCCTCCATGATTCATTCTACAGTCAAGTTTTCGAACAACAAAATGCTAGTGATGTATCATGACATACAACAAATGTGTGATGTTTTTGTTTATGACTTCTGGCATGTTCTATTATTCTTTGAAGATAAGGGAAGCTTTGACAATGTTCCCTGAATAGAGCTTCTAAATTTATTGCTTGAAATACAATATATAGGTGGTAATATATAAATTTCATTACTTAAAAGATATGAAAGATATCATTTAAAGCAGTTTTAAATTATTATTATTTTAACATCATTACATATTACTTGTGTACTATGATAGTTTTAAAGTGTTTTGAATTGTTATTTTTATTTCCATACTCCTAAGGTAAATAAAATTTATTGAATCACTTTAATTAGAATATCTACTTCCTCTTCCTTTTTTATGAAACATTTTTATTACTTAAAGGATTCAATCTAGAATTCTATAATTTACACACACATACATATATACATATATATATAGTATATTTTTGATTTAAGGTTATACACTTATTAAGTAAAGTTGGATCAATTAATGAGCAAATATAAAATTATTTAAAAGAAATATTTTTGGTTCTAAAAGTTACAAAGCTTGTAATATTTAGATGCTTCAAGCAAATATTAATAATTTCATTGTTTTGCAAAAATGAAAAAGAAAAGAAAAGAAATGCTTAAAAAAACTTGGTAGAAACATATTTTTTAAAAAAAACACATTTACAACTTATATGCTTATGCTAATCTTGGATGTATTCAAATTATAAAATATAAATATTAAATATTTTATATACCATATCAATGCACTTGTATTACAAAATTTATTGTGAAAAAAGATGTCAAAAATTAATCTTAGAAAAATAAAAAAAAATAAAAAAAAATCAAAATTTGCAGTTTTTATTAAATCTTAAATGATATTTTTATTTAAAAATTAAAAATTATATAAATAAACAAAAATTAGTAGTTAACACTTTAAAATGATTTGTTGCAGAATATATTTTTTCGATATTTTTTATCAAAATAGATTAAAAATATTATTATAATATTTTATTTAAAAATTAATCACAAAAAATAAAAATATATTTATAATATTTCCTGGGTAAAAATTAAATTTAAACCTCATAAAAGATGAATATGTCTACATGTATATATTATTTAAATTGAATAATAGATGTTATTAATTTTTCTAAAAACACTAAAGAAATCAATATAAACTTGTTGAGTTAGGATTTCTATTAGGCACAATCCAATTTCTTCATGCATTAAATTTAGTATTATCTTAGATTAAACTATTTTTTTAGCAACTTTGTTGCAAAAAAAAAAAAAAAAAAAAAAAAAAAAAAGTATCTATAGGCTTTTTTTAGATAGAATTCTATGCCAAAAAACCATTCTTTTTATTTAATTTTTAAATATGCTTGATTTATATAATAAGTTTTCTTTCAATCATAAAAAACATCTTTACTTTACTTAGTTAATTGCTATCATTATTGTTTATAACATAATATTGTGATTAGTTAACAATATGGTGATTTTCTTTCATAATGTTGCATTAATATATAAAAGTTAGATTGTCTTTTCATTTATATCTTATTTTGAATTGACTTTTTATCTTTTTACATTTGACACATATTTACTTAATTTGATTTGTTAATTTATGTAATATTTGTATATTAAACTATCTAAAAGTGTACAAAATAACAATGTTAATAATTTAACATTTATATAATTTAGATGTTTATTATTGATACTTAGTTTTAGGAAAAATAACACTTTTGATACCATGATTGATATAAGAAAAGTTAAGAAACTTATATGAAAAATTGAAATACTGTGATATAAATTAATATAAAATAAAATAAAATAAAATACAATATAATATAACTTCATCAATAAAATTATGTTAATTTTTATAGAAAAAAAGAAATATCTTGAAGATTTAAAGTTATACAATGTATGGTTCGCATATTAAAGAATGTATCATAATTATCTTAAGACTTTTATATGATATGTGGTATTTAATTATTTAATTTAATTATAATATTATATTTATATTAATAAAAATTAATAAAATACTTATATTCTATTTAAAATATATATTGTATATAAAATACACATTCTTTTAAAAATATGGCAATCTATAAATATGAATGTGTAAATTATTTTAAAATCATATTTAGAATAGATAAGAAATAATTAGAATGAAAAAATATTTTTAATTTATTAGACATATTTATTAATCTATAAATAAAAAATAAAAATATGTTCTATATTTTTAAATTTAAGCTATTCAGTTAAACATCAAAATCCAATTTAATTTCAAATATAATGTAACTTTCTTAAAACAATATATATAAATTTAAAACTATATTGGAAGAATTTTTCGTAATGTTTAAAAATATATAAATAAAAATCTTTTTTTTAAAATTTATGTAAAATTATATATTAAAAAATTATACGAGGTTTTAATATTTATTTCTATATGTAAAAGATATATTTATTAAAATCAAATTTCTTTATAAATACCACTTAAAAAAGGGTAAGCATTAAAAACTTAATAATGTATAGAAAATTTTATTTTTTACAAAATGAAATGAAATTATTTATTTAAATACAAGTTTAACTTATTGATTATTTTTAAAGTTAAAAACAATGATTTATATTAATAATATTTTATTCATAATAAATTATAATTACATCAAAAATATAAAATTAAATAATTTTTTTATAAAGTGAATACTCAATAGTGTCTTACTAGTAAAAAAAAAAAAAAAAAAAAAAAAAAAAAAAAACTTAGTAAAAGAATCTAAGGTTTTGGCCCATCACTTTTAACTAACAAAATAACAATTTAGTTTTTTACAAATTGTAGCTCAAATTAATTTTATAAAATTTCTAAAATTACTTAATAGTTACTAAAAAAAACTAACAACTAAATTAGTATTCTAAAAGAACATCTTAAATTTTATATTATAATTGAAATCATATTAATTCACTTCAATCAATTAAGTTTTGTTTAAATACATATATTTTATAAAACATATTAACAAGAGTATAAATCAATGAGATAAACCATGGAGACAAATTGGCCTTTTGATTGGATGGATTTCTCAATCATCATTGTTTTTATTAAAACTTAAATTTCCAATTCATAGAGCCTTAAAAAACCAATCTTAGATTAAGCTCTAAGATTTTGCCACCTAAAAGCTTGCTTAGGAGATGATCACAACTTCCTTTAAAACGTGAAGGTTTTTTTTGTCTAATATGGTAACTAAACTATGAATTATAATCTTTAATATATATTGTAGGTTGAAGTTCCATTTCATTGGGCTACACTTGGCATATATGTGTAATGAATGCAAGAAAGAAAAGTCATTTTTTGGTAGATATTATTCTAAAAATTGGCATTTTTTTGTACATGGAAATAACAAATTTTGTGGCTCTTTTGACATCAAGGTACTTTTGCTATTTTCTACTCAATTGTACCAAGTTAGTGTATACCATGACATTGTCACTTTTGTATATAACATGGTGCAATTGAGCATGTAGTGAAGGAGAGTGCTTGAGGTATTTTTTAAAAAAGTTACCTAGTATCAAAAGCCAACTTTTTGAACAATCAATGTTTATCCAAGTATTGAGAGCTATCTTGTTTCTAGGACATAACATCTTTGGCAAATTCAAGTATAGACTTGCATCTTAAGCTACACTAGAGCTTAAGCAATTGTACATTATTTTGCCACAGCCTTGGTCAAAAGCAAGGACAAATTGCAACTTAAGTATTAGTCTTGTTTTTTTTTGTAGTATCTCTTTTTAACAATATTCATATGTTGCTGTATTTTTTTATTTTTTTATTTTTTTTGGCATATCAATCAAAGATTCATGAAAACATGTTTGATCCCAACAAAATATCAAGGTAGTCAATAGACTTCATAATGTTAATTTCTTTTAGAAATTTTTGAATCTCTTAATATGAAACTTCATTGAACGCTTTTAAGTGAATGCATTAAGAAATTCTTTACATAATTTATGAACTTATAGAAAATTAAATGGGCATCATGTCTTCTCTAAGCTTGAAGCCACCATAATTTTTTTGACTTACAAGACCTTCTAGAGAAGATCCTTGGTTTTGGCTCATTTTCTAACTTTAATAAGAAAAAAATATTAGAGTATGACTAGCATCTACAAGTGTCAAATTTTGATATGCTTAGAGGTTGGTTGTTGCATTTTCAAGGTCAAACTTAGATGTCATCTTTTCTCAAGAAAGATCTTCTAAAGTATGTATTAATGAAGATAGTGTAACCTAGTATCACACATAGTTTTTGTGACAACAACAAAAGTTTAATTAGTCTCTATTATAAAACATATCAAGAAGAATATAAATCAATGGAATAAATTAAAGAGACAAATTGGCCTTCTAGTTAATTGGATTTTTCAATCAACATTGTTTTCATCAAAACTTAACATAACTTGTAAATTTAGAGGGCCTTAACAAAACCAATCTTGGATTAAGATGAGAACATCTTATAGCTTGAACTGGAGTAAATCTAACCCATATTAATATTTACTATGATGTTGAATCTGTGCCATTTACTAATAAAGGTAAAAATATACCATAAGTAAAACCAGATGGTACTAAAGCAAATGATTGTTTTGGTGAGATGTGGTGCCATAGAAATGTGATGTGTGGTTATACATTTCTTTGTTACATGATTTTTGTGGTATATTTGATGCTAATATTTTAAGACATGGTGGCATGTACGTATTTTTTTGTTTTCATTTATATAATATGGCTTCAAAAGACAAGTGCACTATATTTTTTTTAGCAATGGTAGAGATGGAGAATCCTTTATATATCTTATGCTTATTTTCTATGTTTTGTCAATATCAAATTTTTTGCTAGAATCAACTTTATAATTTGTTGTATCCTTGTCATTTTTCTTATATTCTCAAACTTGTAGCAATGCAATTTTTGTTGAGAAGTATTTGTCATCAAAGTGATCAATAGATTTACCAACATTTTTTACCAATAGTTCAATATTTGAAGTTGCAAACACGAATCTTTATATAAGTCTATAAAAGTTGGCACTTAACAAAACATTAGAAGAACAAAGTTTGATAAAAAAAGACCTTCTCAAGGTATGTCCAAATTTTTATTTTTTGATATATTGGTTTTTAGATTTAATAGAATATTTTTAGCATTTCTACAATAAAAAAATATACTTAGATAAATTCTTTTTGGCTAGAAGTTCTATTGATGTTCTTGTAATGATTTTTTATGCAAATTCTATTTGTAGCATCAAAATCTTTGTTTAAAATCAAAATCATTTTTCAAAGACTTCAATTTTATGTAGTTCAAATGCAACCAATGTGATGAGCAGATATTGCATTATATCCTCTCAACATGTTACAAGAACTTCAAAGCATGGCTCAAATTTGATGACCTTATGTAACGACTCTCCAATAATGTCTTTGTTGATGTCTATTCAGAGGTCCTAAGTGTATCTAAATTATATTATTATTAAGACTAGTGATAATATATAATATATTATAATGGTTAGAACATCTAATTGATTCAAGGTATGCAATGATTTTTTTTTCAAGCAATGAAATGAAATGGATACAAAATCAAGAACTATAATGAAAAGAAAGTATGCAAAATTGGAGAAGAAATGGCCTCCTCAACTGAGAAATCTTGTGCCTATTCCTAAATTATCTCTTGCAAATTATGTAGGAATAAAACTTGGATACCATTAGAGATTTATTTTAGAGATTATTGAAATGCAAGCTACTTCATCAAATTTAAAACCTCTAAATCCATGTTTTGTAAGAAACTAGAGTTTAATGAATGTTTTTTTTTCTTTTTTTTCTTTTTTTTCTTTGCACAAAGTATTGTTATATTGCATATGTATTGTTTGAAATGAACTTTGGTAGGCCATGATGATTAGTGTTTTCATGTTTATTGAATAAAAAAAATAGTAATTGTAGAATATTGGATTGTAGAATTGAACAACAAGATGAAATTATTTGCAAGTTTGTTGTAAAATTGAGTGTTTGATAAAGCTTCTTTTCTAAAATTGATGATAAAAAAATAATGTTGCAATAAAGTCTTTGTCATTGGTAAAGTTGCTTATGATGTTGACACTTCTCTATATGCTGTGTTTTCTTACTATGGCTTAAGTTTGAATTGTATAACATGATTCAACTAATGAAAGATAGAATTTCTATTTGTCAAGGCATCAATGAGAACTAAAGACAGTCAACAGAATTGAAAGAATTTTTAGTCTTTTAGTTATAGCACCGTACATAAAAACGCTTTTTTATCTGCCTGAAACAAATGTACTTAGAGCTGCAACTGTATATGTCACTTACTGCATAGGTCTCCTAAACTCACAATAAGATTGTGTTAAAAATTTATAAAAGAAAACCTATCTCAAGTTCTTCACTCTGTCATTTCACCAATTCTTGTGTCATGTGATTCCCATGGTAATTTTCAGTACCACAACATGCAATTGTCAAGCAAATAGCATGACCTTCAATCTAGATGTAGCCATCAAATAAGACCCACCACTCTGGGAAGCTTGAACGTGTTGCAGAACTAAAAAGTGTAGTACTCATAACCAATATCGGCTATGTTGGGCACTTTCAAATTGTTTAAGCCATAGAATGGGTCAGGGACAAGATCCAACAAGCAGCCAATTATCATAGCATCTAGAAACTGCAATTTTCTCCAGAGATTAGATGGAACAATGAAATGGATGGATGTTCATTTAAAGATATTCATCAATTAATTAATAAATATCTATCTGTATGATGGAAAAACCCAAGAAAAAGGATTAACCAATTGACTGATTGAGGCTGTGAAGGTTGAATTCGGAGATTGTATCCACGCCCATCGGGCATTGCGATGATGCTCTGGGAGCCTTCCTTCCAAAATAAAATCGTTTTTTGATCTATCTCTGAAGCCTTCCTTCGAAACACGCTTGATCGATCGAGGTGTTGAATCTGAGTTCCACGTAAAGGAAAGTCAAAGATGGTGATAGAAAACTGGATGATCTGCCACTGGCTATGAAACTTCACGGCGATGATCCACAGCATCACCGTTGATCTTCCCACCAGTTCCTCCTGACGATGATGAGGGTGAGCTTTGCCGTCTGATATAGCCCCGCAGCCGCTTCACATCCGCCAATTGCACTGGCTTCGTCAAAAACGCATCGGCGCCTTCGGCGAGGCATCTGGTGAGAATTCATACACGCATTATCAGTTCCACATCGATTCTGATAGTGTTGTGCATGGACTAGAAATTGATCGACAAGGTAGCTCCATTACAGCAGTACATGGGAAACAGGAAGCATCGACGATGGGAGGTATATACAATGCCTGAAATCACCTTCTGATCCGATGACTGTCATTCTCCGAGGACATCAAAACGACGGGAATTTCCTTCAATGCCGAAGACTTCGCCTGAAAATGCAATGGTGTTTGTGATGACTTATGACAGAGCTTTGTGAACAGCGTAATAAACTGGCATCAATGCAATAAACTGCAAAGTTCGGGCTTAGTATAGTCGAAGATCAAATCGTTACTATCCCGACAGGTTTTTAATAATAATCAGCTCGATTAGTGCACGCGACGATGCTTTTTATCAGATATACCCGCATGCAACGCTTTGCTTGGTTTGTGCACTTCTCAAAGGGCAATTTCACTCGAAAACGTGTTTATTAGCATCTTGATTCATATTCTTTAAATCTCATTACATGGAAACTGCAGATACTGAGCACGCTGGAATGGATCAATGAATCAAATACTAGCTGACACTGGAATGGAAGTGAAGTACCTTCACTCGTTTGAGGAGGTCGTAACCAGTCATCTCTGGCATGAAATAATCCGTCATTATCAGGTTTATATCCAGTTCTGTAGATTCATCACAAGTTCTTGTTAAACCAGATAACAGTGCTCACTTTGCTAAAGAAACTGACTTGCTAACTTTTGATCTGAACGAAAGAGTTAAAATGAAGCACCTTGGAAGAGCTGGGGCGTGTTTCTGAAAGACCCAAGACATCCAAGGCCCTCACAGCACTGTCGACGGTTGTGACTGCATGCAATGGCTAAACGAATTATCAATTCATGATTTACTCTATTATCCTATTATAAATTTTTCTTAGGTTCAACCGATATATATATATATATATATATATATTGCGGCTTCATTTCAATGAAGTCAGCAGCAAGTATGATTTGTCTTTTAAACAAGTGACTGACCTTGAGAAGCTTTTCTATGACCCTTTGATCGACCATGCTGTCATCCACCGCAAGGACGTGATACTGAAATTTAGTCCTCACCGACTCTGGTTTTACTGCTCCTAGTTCTGTTCGAAGGATCTTTCCCTTGACTGAATCCGGATGACGATTTTCTATGCTGGCAGAGAGGAGGCTCATCGTTTCAGCCTCCGTTTCTCCCCGCACCTTTGTCTGCAGGGTTTCTTCAATGTTCTGGGCTGTTGAAGATGTTGTCATCATCACCTCAGAGCTTCCAGGCTTCTAAACCTTCTTTGATGTTTCGTGGACCTTGCCTGGCAGCTCAAAATGCCCAGCAACTCCGAAGCCTTCCGAGGATTTGGATCGAGGGATACTTCTGACACTGATCCAAAAGTTCCACTCACTTGGTACACTTCCTGGTGAGGACTCCTGAAGCTCTGAAACTTCGGGAGTGTAGAAAGCACCAGAGATACGCACCACTGCTTCTGGGGTTCCGTATCATGTCCGTCCAAGCCCAAGGATTCAATTTCACTGATGTTTTATGACAGACCAAGAATCTGACGAAGCTGTTCAAGCTTAATCGATACGATCCCGTCAAGGCTACCAAACTTACATCCGTACCTTCGCTCCACGCACACTACGTGTGAAATACGACGTCATGCTCACTAATATTCGTTACCGCACTAAAATTTTGACCAAGCCCTCAGACGCGGAAGTCCCGCATTATTAGAAGCAAGTGAACTTGAGAGTTTTTGATAGAGAGAATATATTACCTATATTAAAAATTGAGTGTACACTGTTATTATTCTATTGAGGGAGGTGTGAGCGTTTAGGTCTCGCATATTTGACTAGTTGCGACGTTTCACTTAGTTTGTTCGTTATGTTTGGTTAGTCACTGTTATTGTTTCCAACACGGTCGCTTAACCAAAGCATCACGAACGGGGGGTTTCTCCTCCAAGCAGGCCAAGCATGGGTAAATGCTGGGCAAGCTTCGGTCCAGTGAGGGACTTCGTGAAAATGTCTGCATGCATATTTTCTGTTGGGCAGTAGGTAAATTTGGCTTTGTGTTCAGCCATAAGTTGGCGTATGAAATGGTAGCGGATAGAAATGTGCTTTGTGCGGGAGTGAAAACGAGTGGTTGTGACCAATGCTAACGCTGATTGGTTGTCGCAGTATACACGGGTCGGCGTTTTTAGGGTGTCGGTGCAGTGAAGGTCGTGGAGGAGTTGCCGCAACCATACAAGTTCAGACGCGGCTGTGGCCATGGCGACATACTCAGCCTCGGTGCTGGATAGGGCTGTCGTCTTTTGGCGCGTGGAGCTCCAACTGATGGCGCCTGTTGACAGAAGAAAAACGTAGCCGGATGTCGAGCGGCGTTGATCCACTTCGCCTGCCCAGTCGGCATCGCTGAAGCCGTAGAGAGGGCGCGGCACAGTAGAAGTGCGGCGGTACTCCAGGTAGTGGTCGATAGTGCCGCGGAGGTACCGAAACACATGTTTATATGCACGTATATGGGCATCGCCCGGGTTGTGCATATATTGAGCAAGAACGCTGACTGTGAACGAGAGATCCGGGCGAGTGCACAAGCTGGCACAGTTCAGCGACCCTACAGCATTCGCATAGGGGAAGGCAGCAATAAGGGCAGTTTCGGCAGAGGAGGACGGACAGTCGGCCGCTGAAAGATGAGTCCCAGGGGCCAGCGGGGTCGACACAGGTTTGGAGGCGAGGAAAGCGAATTCTGCAAGCTTCTGTGTGATGTACAGAGCTTGTGTGATTCGGAACCATCCGTGATCAAGATTTCGAGTGACCTGTAAACTGAGCAGGTGATGTACTTCGCCGAGATCGGAGTGTAAGAAGCGAGAGTTAAGTTGTCGCTTGATCGAATGGAGCAAGGGGAGGGAGTTCGCCGCGATGAGAGTGTCATCGACGTAGAGGGTGAGGACCGCGAAGTGAGAGCGGTTCTGTAACACATAGACATTCCCATCCGCAGCAGAATTTGTGAAGCCGACGGTAAGTAAAAATTTGTTTATGACCGTAAACCATTCTCGGGGAGACTGTTTCAACCCGTAGAGGGTCGTGAGTAAGCGGCAGACCATGCCGGGGCGGGGGGAAGTCACCCCCTCCGGCACCCGCATGTATATTTCCTCGGAGAGAACGCCATTTAAGAAGGCTGTCTTCACGTCCATCTGATGGACATGAAGTTTCAGCTGGGCGGCAAGGGTTAGAAGAGCGCGCTTCGGTCGAGAGGGTCGCGGAGGAGTCTTCCGCGGCCGAAGAGAACTTGGATCATAATTTTCGGAAGGGTCTCGCGGCGGGGGTACGCCTTTGTTGGTGCGAGAAGACTTGCGAACGAGTACAGGAGAGGTTCCATGCGGGGACTCAACGGGAGAGTCAGCAACATGGTCCGTGCTGGGAGCTTGTTTGTGGTGGCCTAAATGAGGCATGAGGGCGAAGCCGGTGGGAGACCGGACGTCATGCCGCGGGGGCGGTCTAGCCGGGAGGAGTGGTGGTACCTCGGGCAACGAGGATTGTTCAAGTCGGGACTGAGCACGGGCGGAATCTGGAGCCAGGGGAAGCAAAATATGAAAATTGCTCAACCCCGGGCTGGGGCCATCAGCAGCAGCTGGTTCCTGAGCAGCAGACGAGAGGTGATCATTAAGAGGATTCGTGACAGGTAGTGAAGGAGGACGTTGATGCTGGTCCGACGGCACCTGCGGAGCATCAGAAAGAGGGTGCTGGGGCTCACGCGTGGATACACGCGCAGGTGGAGTGGCAGGGAGCTGCGACCCGCTGGGAAGGAAGAAATGTGGGTCTTCCTGGAGTCTGGCATCGGGTGAGGGGCTGGCCTGAACAGGTTGGCGGGGAGAAGCAGGCTCCTTCTGAAAGATGACGTCGCTGGAGACGACGGTGGCGCCGGTGCGGAGGAGTTGAACCTTGTATCCCTTGCTGACCGGGCTATAGCCAAGGAATATGCAAGCCTCCGTTTTTCCATCAAGCTTGACACGGAGCGGATCAGGGATTTTGGCATAACATCGACTTCCAAATACACGAATGTGAGTGAGATCGGGCTTCTTCTTGTGCCACATCTCGAATGGAGTGGTGTGAGAAGGAATAGCCTTCGTGGGAAGTCGATTTTGTATATACGCAGCACAGGTGACTGCTTCTCCCCAATACGATCTAGAGAGTTGAGCTTCATGGAGCATGCACCTTGTGGTGTCTAGGAGAGTTCGATTCTTGCGTTCAGCCACATCATTTTGGCGTGGTGTATACGCTGTGGTGAGTTGACGTTGAATTCCATGTGCTTCCAGATAGTGAGTGAATTCTGAAGATAAGTACTTTCCTCCTTGATCGGAGCGGAGAGTTCTGATTTTATAGCCGGTTTGATTCTCAGCCCATGTGTGAAAAATTTTGAATTCATGTAGACATTCGCTCTTTTTTCGTAATAGTCTTAGTAAGGTATATCTGGAAAAGTCGTCGATGAATGTAACATAGTATTCGTAGCCGGAGAATGTTGTAGCGATGCGGCAGCTTAAATCAGAGTGAATTAATTCGAGAGGTTGAGTGGCTCTTGTAGTCGCTTGTTTTGGAAACTTTTTGGCTGTATGTTTGCCATGGAGGCATGTCGGGCACACCTGGTTGGAGATCGTTTTGAGGTGGATTCCCGTGACAGCTGAGTTGGTGATTAAGTGCTTGAGGCGGTCAGTACTGGGATGACCAAGCCTTCGATGCCGCAAGAATTGTTGCGAGCTTGGAACTGAGGCGACAGCTTGAGTGGCTTCGGGCAACGGGGCTGTAGTGGGTCGTAGTGTCGTAATATGGGCGGAAAAGACAGCAGCAGCAGACAGCAGACAGCAGCGGTTCGGCCATGGAGGGATCTCCGGTTCGGCCATGGTGTCCTTGCGAGTTTGCTGTGCCGAGGTGGAGAGGAATCTGCTGTGCTTTGTGGTGACAAGTAGGATTCCGAGGCTCTGGTAGTGGTAGTTGAGAGGCATGGGGGTTGAGGGCGGAAGATAACTCCATGTCGACTGTCCACCAGGCAGAGTCGCTCGTAGTGGGGGAAGACGGCGCTGGAGAGAGCTGTGGTGACCAGCATACGTAATGACCGGAAAGGGTCGTCAGTGAAGGCTTCGAGATAAAAACTCTGTGATCGGCACTTGGGGGCATTGAAACAGATGGTGATTCTCTCGACCAAGCAATGGTATGTGCCACCACATTTTGGGCTGGGAATTCTGTTGATCCTAGTAGATAAAGATTATCTCAAAGAGGACAGGAGGCGAGTATTGTGTTGTCTCTTGCTAATAGATTACATATCTGATTTTTTATTAAGATTCCACCACCTTCGAGATCATAGTCACATACAGAGAATAGATTTTTGTGTAAGTCTGGTACATATTAAGGTATTGGAGAGACGAAGTGTCTCGCCATTTGCCATTGAGATTTCTACTTCTCCTTGGCCATAGATGGGTAATGTTGTGGCATCGCCAAGGTATACTTTGTTGTCATCATGTAGAAATGGTTTGAAATTAATGAATTGTCGTTTATTATGTGCCAAGTGGTGGGTGGCACCCGTATCAATGAGCCATTGTGTGTCTTTGGTAGTTCCAGGCTTAAGTAATTTAGCAGAGCAAAAAGCTTGTGTAATGTAAACATGGGCATAGAAAGCGGGAGGTAATTCCTCTACTTGTTCTTGCTTCCATGTTTGGTTATTTTTCTTGTTATCATGATTTGTTGTTGCTGAATTTGCAGCAACTCGTGTTTTGTGTTTGAAACACTCGGAACCCCAATGCCCCATTTTCTTGCAATGTGGGCAAGGAGTTGTAGGTTTGTTGCGCTGTTTTGAAAGCTTATGGTCTTTTGGATTGGATTTGTGAGGTTGCCATTTTGTCTTTCCTTTGCCTCCTACAAAGAGGGCATGTGAGTCAGAAGAAGAGCTTTTCATGGCTGTTTCTTCCTGCAAGAGGATTGAAATCAGCGTGGGGAGTGTTACAGTCCCCATTGTGCGAAGCGTTTGTATCACGATGCCATACTGGGATGGCATGGACCTCATGAGAGTGAGGATTTCCATTTGAGGAGAAATGATAACTCCGACAAAAGTGCATTGTTGAAGCAGACTTCTGAAGTTGTGTATATGTTGAGTTACCGATTCTCCAATTTTCATCTTTTGTGTGATGAATTTTTCTTGTAGGTGGGATTGAGTGACGATGCCACTTGCTGAGTATGTATTTTCAAGGGCCAGCCATGCTTCATTGGCTGTCTTGCATGCTCAGACATGAGAGAAAATTGGATTTTCTACTCAATCCCAAATTGCTGCTAAAGCAACATGATCCTTCCTTTTCCAGGTAAGGATTTCAGTTTGATTAGTTGATGGTGAAGTTGATGTTGCATTTACTTCTTGAACAGGTGTTGGTTGTGTTTCTTTTCCTGAAACTACATCCCATAAGTTCTCCATTTCAAACTTCATTTGAATCTTTTTCTTCCAGATGGAATACCACTAGCCATCAAACTTAGGCCACTTATCCGTGGTAATGATGCTTGCAGTCATGTTTGAAGACAAGAGGAGGATTCGTTGGTGCCCCAACTTTCTATGTAGAACGTCTTCTACAAAGCCTCCTTTTTCTGTCTGCAGTGTTTTCTTAAATATATATCATAAAACTTTTTCAGAGCTTCGCTCTGATACCATATTAGAAGCAAGTGAACTTGAGAGTTTATGATAGAAAAAATATATTACCTATATTAAAAATTGAGTGTACACTGTTATTATTCTATTGAGGGAGGTGCGACCGTTTAGGTCTCGCATATTTGACTAGTTGCGACGTTTCACTTAGTTTGTTCGTTATGTTTGGTTAGTCACTGTTATTGTTTCCAACACGCATCAGCGATGTACAGCACTATGTATTGGCCTCGCTAGCGCCAACTTACAAGAACTTGACAATTAGTCACTTCGGGATACTGTAACAAACCTAGTAGCCGGATCTGCCCCATCGAAGCTTCTACTTAACGATTGAATTTTCTCTCCCCAGGGTTGAACACAAGCACTATCTCACAGCATTACTAAAAGCATCTGATTCGTAGTGAAAAAGAACAATGCCTCTCGTACATATCTACACGATTGGTCAGTCCGCTATCAGCCATAGTCTAATGTTCCAATCACTACAACGGCCTCGGTTGCTAGGCAAAGTACGCGCATTAAACCAAAAAATTGTGTGAAAATCTCCAAAAAAAGCCAAAACGTGAAGGCCGACACGGTGAAGTCACATGAGACTGGTCAAAACGTCTTGCTACAAAGCCAAGGGATGTGATCCATGCAAGGTTATGCTCGCACAGAAACGGTTGAAAGATATCAAAAGCCCATGTGCATGCTGGGGGTAGCCATTCTTCCATTCTTCCTAACCGCAAGACCTGATCCGGTATCTGCGTGCCGTAGCGGGCAGATCAGCACATTCCCAAATAATGGCATTGCCCTTTGCATGCCTGCAGTCGTGCTCATGCTCCGGCGACTTCGATATGCCAGCGTAGACAAGGTATTCGAAGCTTTCGTTGACTGAAAGATTATTCTTCTCTATCGAACCATCACCAGATAAATGGGATAAAGACGATCAGGCCTACTAAGCACTATCACAATGCCATTTAATGCTACGTGAGCAATGTGGGTGCTTTTCATTATTATAATCAGTCAATAACTTGTCATCCAAAACATTTGTTTCAATGCATTGAAATGGATTCCGAGCACAAGTCGTAATCGAAATCATTTCAATTCATATTATATATATATATATATATATATATATACGTGTGTGTGTTTAACTTCGATAATTGAGAATTATTGAATTGAAAAACGCGTGACATATTCGTCAGTAAACATATGGGAGGTTAGACAGGAAAAATAGGTAAAAACAACAATAACGGAAAAAGTAGAAAACATTGTCTGCTTTTGTAGGTTGAACATGTTTAATTTCAGAAGTATTCGTGTGTGAGAAAACGAGAAGAAAATGTCCAAATGTCAAGACATCTAAGTTTTCTAATAGGGTGAAATACACTGCAAACCAAGGCCAATTTTTCTCCACGCAAAAACTTAACCACTATGTCACATTCTTCAGTTAGTAGTACGTTCAAAGTCCATTGACATGCACGTATATTTAACGGCCTATAAACAAGACAAAAATAACAACACCGTGAGACAACAAAAACTATGCCTCAGCAAATAGATAATGTTCTATGGTTCAAACAGCATACACAAGTTACCTTGGGTGATTTTTGGAATACCACCAGATCCGAAGATTTCTATTTGGGATTATGGGCTTGACACATGCCGGTGTATTGTTGGTTTAACCGGAAAACATTCTAGTCCCAGATGTTGGACGGTCCGTTGAAAGAGACGAGCAACGACACAACCATAAATTAAGTAAACATGATGACTCTGGTTAAGCTAGAAGGCCCAGTAATAATCACCATCCCCCTTCTTGATGAAGGATTTTTTCAGGTAGAACTTTCCAGTCACCTTTCTTATCAAGGCTACATTATTGTTGAGATAATTTTATGATCAAATAATGCGTTTTGCTTATACGAACCGAAATATACACACACACACAAATGTATATGTGTACATATACGTATATCTACTGTTGATAATATTTACTAGATTTTGAATTAAGAATCTCAAACACATAAAAGAGATCACCAAGTAATAGTGAGCCTGTTACTGAATAATAAAGACGAAAGGGGTGCCTTGTCATGGCAAACACACACATAGAAATACAGAAACGGTGCTGGTCATTGCTGGGTTGCTTGAAGCCTATCGTGCAGGTGAAGATCCTAAATTCATTCCAATGTTTCTTCATTACACAAGCATCCAACACCCTTGCCAAAACAGAAGAAACCACCTTTTTTACCACTAGACCAAATGAATGAGGCACTTTTCTTGGCCAGCTGCAACTTCAGCAAACTTGGCGATTCAAGACACCACACAATAACCCGCATGGGCGAGCTTGTGTAAACCATACTCTAATAATATAATCTTTTGTAACAAAACTGCAATGCTCCTATAAAAGGATGAATATTTCCAATAGTGGAAGGAAACCAGCTCGCAATCAGGCTCTACATGGGTGACCACAAGAGGAAAACCGATCCCTCAGCGGTACTCAGCAGTCTCTTTCTGAAAATCTGCTAGCAACTCAGTAACAGACTTGGTGCCATGCACAACATTATCTCGCGTACGGATGTTCACCTACACGGTGCACACAAAAAATATTAGACAGCATTCAACTAAATCAAACATATAATAAATCTAACCAAAACCATTTCAACCAATTCAGAGATATGAGAAACCAACTTGTTTTTTGCTTGTTTCCTCTTCGCCAACGACAAGAATGTAGTTAAATTGCGCCAACTGAGCTTCTCGGATCTGAAACAGTGAAAGAGTTTCACAGTACGCAAATATATTAACTTAACGCAACAAACAATTGAAATGTTTCAACGGCAATATACCGAAACCATGCAAGCGAACTCTGCGAAGATGGGAAAATAATGCAAAGACCTACCTACAACCACCAACTCATGCATGGCAACCCTTAATACAAACGCTACGATTCAAATTTGAATCAGTACGTAAATCAGCAGCATACCTTCTTCTGCAATTTACGGTCAGTGACATCTGCTTCACAAAAATAGCCAGCTGCATTTATAGCATCCCGAACCTGTACCAACACCCCATCAGAAGTCACACCGATGAGTGCGGCGACGATGATTGTTGTCAAATTGCCAAAACACGAACTTCATAACTAAACTAATGATCATTTTGATCCCAGGTGAGATAATGCAAGAACGGACCTCCACCGCATAATGCGTGAATTTCTCTGATACCGGGCAAACGATACACTGACGTGGACTCAGCCAAAAAGGCCATTTCCCTGCATAGTGTTCCAGCAGAATAGCGAACATCCGCTCTACCGATCCAAGAATGGCACGGTGGATGATAACTGGCTTTTCCCTCTTAGCTTCGTCTTCCGTGGAATATGATAGGTTGAAACGTATCGGAAGCTGGAAGTCAAGCTGCACTTGACGAAGACCCATAATAAGAAAAAAAACATATTACAAACGGCAGCACTCGATCGTCGTCAAGATCTGAAAGTACTTCTCCACAAGAGGACCACGCTGTAACTATGTCTGTTATTACTCGCCCATAGAAATGACGGAGTTGTAACTGATGAAATCTAACAATTTCTAAGATCAACCATAATAACATGAGATTATTCAATAAATGCAACAATTTAGCCTACCCACCTGGATTGTAGCACACTGAAACTTTCTCTTCAATGCATCAAAAACGGTGATGTCAATCTTTGGTCCATAAAAGGCACCATCCGCTTCATTAATCTGCACACATTGATTAACCGATTCAGGGGATCCATCGCAAACCAACTCAGACGTACTTTCAATCATGCTAATTACCCAACGTTCTCCAATCTACATCGCTAAAGACCAGCCGAAATACTCACCTGCCAGGGTTTACCAAACGCATTCAGGGCAGCTTCCAATGCTTTCTCAGCTCGGTTCCATGTCTCTATCTCACCCAAGTATTTCTCTGGTCTCTGCCATCATCACAAAAACTGTTCAGGCAACACAAATTTACATACATGCAGATGAATTTTGCAGAAGTTGGACAAAACACACGCTTCCTACTCTCTCTCCCCAAAAACACGACCTACAGACATCCGGAATAATCAAAGACAACGATTCGCTTGACTAAAATGTAATTGAAACACATCAAGAATTCAAAAAACCAAGGAAATTAGAAAACAACTAAGAGCTTAGACACAGGATTATGTACAAGCGTGCAATCCACAATACGCAATACAATTCCTGTACCGTGGAAAGCTCCAGCTCAAATGTGAAACCAAACACTCCGTAAGCGAACTCCAGAAAGTCTAAGGCGCCCTTTACTTCAGTTAGAAGCTGCATATAAACGTCATAACACAAGGCACAACACAAGGTTATAAATCTGCATATGCAAAGGTGCATACTACTCCACATCAATTCAACAATTATCTAAAAAAAAGAAGAGGATATACTGTGCCCAATGAATATTATTAGATTGAATTAATTTATCAATTAACCAAATGGTATCAATTAACATACAACTCTTGTCTTCATAAGACTTCCAAGAAACCAACCCAGTTACAGAAATGTTCACCATCAATAGAAACCCTCTGCGCTGAAAGCCAACTACTTCCACTTGTAACGATACCAAGACCATCTAAAAACTAGTGTCAATTTAGAACTTCCACAGGTGGGTCAACATCCACCAACTCAACAAAAGAAGGTGAAGTACGAAACCAAGACCTCAACTCTCGGTGGAACGAGTCCACTAGTTCAAAAACGTTATTCACGTTATGGTTTCATATGACTCATACAATCAACTCAACCACATTAGACGAATTGCAGTACCATCAATCCACCAGAACTGAAGTATCCGTACCTCAACTAGGAAACATGTTCATTACCAAGCTTTTAAGGACCTCAAGCAAGATGTCGACAAACAGAGCGGAAGTGACGGACCTGAGACTCCATGCAGAATATGTGTGCGTCATCCTGTTGGAACCTTCGTACTCTCGTCAGTCCAGAAAGAGCACCACTTAACTCATTCCGATGAAGCACTCCAAAATCTGCCAAGCGCAACGGAAGTTCTGTACAAGAACCAGAAAGCTACTAAGAAAGGTTGGCGCACACACCAAGATTAGTGGAAAATGTCTAATGGACAAAAATAGAACAAGCGTAGAAAAAAAAACAAACAAACAAACAAAAAGAAGAACAAAAAATAAAAATATACTGCAACTACTGTTCTATTAATCTAGCGAAACATATGATTCAGGATTGATGGGATTTCTTTTACCCCTCCGGACAACCCAATGATGAACATGAACCCTTACCTCTGTATGAACGGACGCGATGATCAAAAATGAGACAATGACCAGGACAGTTCATGGGCTTCAATCCAAACTCTTGTTTCTCCACCTAAAAAAAAACAATTACAATCACTGTTACTATAACACTCGGAGAAAAAAAGCGCAAAGAAAACATTGGCCAGTACGCGACCAAGAAGTCAAAGATAATGGGGATCTCATAGTACTGCGCCCTGCCCTTGCAAGGACAACGAACCTCAAATGTGAACATGTTGTCTTTGTAATTCGCAGCATGTCCGGATGTTTCCCAAAGTTGCATGTTGAACATGTTCGGAGAAACGACCTGTCAAGAGCCAACATAGCTAGATACGTTAGAGACTTCGCTGTGTACTAGACCAACCTACTGAGAGTATCATGGTGAGCCATCTACAAGAAGCGCAAAGACTTCTGTAAATCAATTGTAAATTCACAAAATGCCGCATACGAAATACTGACAAAGTAAGGACACTTCCCTCTAATAAACCAGAAAAGCTACAAACACATAAATTGAATGACGAGAACAGCGCGCACCTCCTCATAACCTCTTTTTCGGTACTCATCCCTGATAAAAGCTTGCAATTTGTTGTATATCCGAGCACCATGAGGTAAAAAGAAACAGCTCCCAGGGCTAACAGCACAGAAAAATCAGGTGTAATCAGAAACATCCAAGAGAACGGGATCATTCCTGAAACACAACCACAACAATAAAACACAACAGAAGCATGTGTTCTAGCGACCATAACTCTGCACTTGTTCATCATGCCGAACAGAAACGTGACAGTGAACCAAACCTCAATTCGTGAAAGAAGAAAAGCTCTTGCTGTTGGCCAAGCTTCCGATGGTCTCTTTTCTTAGCTTCCTCCACGTTATGAAGATACTCCTGCGCAAGTTCGGTTATAAAATGTTATAACCACAACCTAAACAAACGTCTACAGCACACGCAAAACGTTACGCACAACTCACTCCGACCTAAGAACGTCATTCCTAAGAAGCCAGCTACCCAGGACAACTCGTTACAAATCATTCCAAAATTTGCATAGATGCGCTTTAGAAATGACCAGCGTAATCTGACTTCTAGAATTTAGAGTTTGAGTGACTTGTGATAAAAAAAAATATTATTGGTACCCATATATTGTTACTTAGAAAAATAAAGGATACTATATTGCTCTCACAGATCCAATATGTTGCCATAAGAGAACGACACTGCCTAGCATCACATCACCAATAGAACCTTGATATGACATATTACCTTCAGTAGCTTGTTGTCTGGATAGGAAATGCCGTAAACACGCTGAAGGCTTTCCCGGTCTGCTCTTCCTCTCCAGTATGAGGCCGAAGCCTGAAGTGCACAAAGAATATTCTCACCACAATTACATTCTCGTGACTTACAAATTCATTCAAATAAGGAAACAAAACACAAAACATGCATCTACGTCAGTGTGGCAGTACCACTAACCCTCAAGCAAGCAAACGCCTTCACGTGAGAAGTGCTTGGGATATGAGGACCACGACATAGATCTACAAGCGGACCACATCTGTACACAGTGATTGTCTTATCCTCCGGAAGCTCATTGATAATTTCAACCTGCACCGATATACGTGAACACAAACTCAGTCTCCCTCTTACGTGCGTGCTTGCTTTGAATATATCCCCCTTGATAACCTCTTAGATGCTCACAGCCAAAGCATGAAAACACCAAGAAACACCCTCACACTGAAGGGAGCTCACTGACCGACGAGAGTTACGAGCACCTCGAGAATAGCGATTAACTCACCTTGAACGGATTTTCTGCGAAGAACTCCAAAGCTTGTTCGCGGGTAACTTCAATCCTCTCAAAAGGTTGCTTATCCTGAGAGCATGACGCAGAGCAGTAAGAGTCAGCTACAGCTTAAGCTCAGCAATCACGGCCAGTGACCATCACATAACTGATCACCGACATTTCAAATGTTGCAAATACAGCTATATAGAACACATGTTGACCACATTTCTTCATTTTCACCTCAGAAATCAAGGAATTATGGAAATGTAAACATCATGAAAAGGTCACTACTTTCCACACGAAATTACTTAGGATTCAAATAAACGCTGGTCAGAAACTGAGAAAAACATCGTAACCTTCACTGCTTTATTTGCTTGTGCTTGAATCTTTCCAAAATCATCTTTCTCAGTCAAGGTAAGCCCATGGTAGAAAGCATCGTAATAGAAACCCTGCAAAGTCACCAAACTTTCAGAGGTCGATAGTTGCTACGGTGTGAATGGTTAACAAACAACACGGAATCCTTCATGGACAATTGATTCTTGAATAACACTAGCTGAGCGCACTTCAAGTCGTAATATTTTGAAAAGCGAATAGTTAAGAGAAATCATGAGCAAACGACGAAGCACGAAAAACAGAGACTTTACGGCACCCAAATCAACGGCAGAGGGAGTAGCCAAATTCGGTACCTCTCCTCTAGTGGTGCAAGGTCCAATGCAAAGCTTGCATCCGTATGTCATTTCAATTGACTGCAATGGGAAATACACATCCAAAGAACTGTCAAGTGCTGTCGCCAAGTCTCATATTGCAACGCAACTAATGACCAAACCAAATCACTGCATGAATGTAAAAAGGACGAACAAAAAACCTGGCCAAGAATGTGAGCACTCGAGTGCCAGAAGGTGTCGCGACCCTTGTCTGACTCAAATTTGTGTAACTGTAGAGTGCAGTCGCCCTCCAATGGTCTCGTCATGTCCCATAACACGCCATTCACCTGTGCCCTAAAATGCAGGAAAACATGAGAGGTCTCTCACAGTGCCTGGTCACAAAACCAAGCAGTAGATAGAAGACAGAGTACTCGTGAACAGATGCACACTCCTATATTACTGTATCCCAGCTGACTTCAAAAGAGTGCACCATGTACCACTAATACCAATCCTTCTTCCAATTCCATCAAGGCATCACGTGCCTCAGAAACATAACAAACTAATTCATTCCCCAAAGGTCGAATTCATCAACACTCCAATCACAGCACCACACCTCGGCAATGAGCGCGCTGTTTGCAAGTCCCTGAGAGATTTCCCGCGCAACATCCATGGGCGATGTGATCCATTTCTTCCCGTCCCTCACAGCTCCATCCGGCATCGTAATCCTACACCATAAGTACTCTCATCAAATCATCCGAACACCAGCAACAAGACCATCACCGTTGTCAGCGCCTCACTCTCATCACCACTTTATGAAATCCCTAAACCCCAAACCCCTCCCTGCCATGCCCACCGCCACTCACTTGATGGGATCCCCGCCCTTCGCCCGAAACGCCTCGGCCTGCTCCTTCTGCAGCTTCTCAAACAACTCGACGCGCTTCTTGATGACGGTGTCCGCCATACCTTTGACATCGGCGGGGCTGCTGAGGGCCATGGAGCTCATCTTCTCTTCCATTGCAAGACGACCTTGCCAACGACGACAATTACTGAGGCACGGAGAAGGCAAGGGCTGGATCGCCTTACCGAGGATGGCAATCGCTGAGGCGATGGAGAGTCGAGGTTTGGCTGCCAAAAGAGCCTCTCACATCTCCAAGACTGAACTAGGGTTTCAGGGGTTTAGGGTTTGGAAGTGCGTTCCAGAACCCTTCGATGCTGCCTTTCATCGGAACCAATGTGGGAAGGATGAGAAGGGTTCGGGTAATTTCCTTTTCACTACGAGCTCCGGTTTTGAATAAAAAGCGTTCAGTGATTGTCTAATGTATGTGTGGCACTTGTCTAATTGAATTTCATGTGATTTTCTTACTGGAATAAAGCTACAATTTTTCTGTTGAGACGCACAAACTTGTGTGGCTTAGTCCGTTTTGAAATTATCCTCTTTGTTTTGTTTAAAACAACTCATGAATTTTAACCATTTGAATGTGTTGAAAGAGAGAAATGTGAATCTTCACCAAAGAATTGTCAAAACTCAATTTTTATATATTTGAATATAATCTAAAATATTTTTATTATGAGAATATTTTTGATTTTATAAAAATTAAAATGCACCTGCCAAAGGTATTGTGATATATTGCAACTTATATTTCTCTATTGGGCAACAACTGCTCTTTCCTCCACTATTAGCCTACAACTTCTCATAATAACTCTCTCTCTTTCTCCACTTCTAGACATTATTTCACAAGCAATGGTTTTTGTCATCCTTTCTCTCCACTCTCTATCTTCTCTTTTAATGCATGTTAATTTGATTAAGAAACGACAAGTGTAGCTATATAAGTATAAATATTATTATCATAAAATTTTACAAAATAAATTTATCAAATAAACAAAACAATAGTTTAATCTATCTAAAGCTTTGTATTAAAGTACTATTAACAATATTCTAAAAATATATGTATATATATATATATATATATATATAAGAAAATAAAATATGACATACAAGCCACAAAGATAAGTTGCTTGTAGATCAAAGATTTGGGACTCACCAAGGTCCATATGTACTATATAAAGGTGTCATAGAGAGACTTTAAAGCCTTAGTCTTATCTTTCTATATACATCCAAGGTGATATAATCCATATGAGACTTATATACCTCTCTTCCTATGAGAACTATATTAATTGTTGGTCAATCTACTTTTTATTAATAGAACTATTCTTTTTGCATTTTGACTTCAACAAAGAAAATTTATTTTAGTTATCTTTGCTAAGGCAAAAAATAGAAAATTAATCTTCTTTTTTCTTTGTGTCTTCTCATCAATTAGTATAGATTGCATTACTTTGTCCATGATCTCTTTTCATTTTCTCAGTACAATCAATTGAACAAGCAAATTTTGAGATTTTGGCAATGCAATAAATACAAGAAATACCATGCTTTTTTCTTTTGCCTATTTTATCACCAAATTCAATGCATAGATCACTAAAATAAAATAAAATAAATTCCCAAAAAACTTTGCATAGATTCTCTATCAACATACTAAAGATTGTAAAGTTTCTTCATAAAAAAGATCTCAATAATAAACTTTGAAGGCTTGTAGATTCTAAGCAATATATCCAATATTCTTTTTTACAATCTTATATTTGCATATCTGAGTTAATTGCCAAGGATTGAAATTGAGGGCAATCAACGCTTGTGCTTTTGCCTTGCTTGATTTTTATTTTGATTTCTCATCCATATCCATATATATGCATGCAAAGTTTACATATATGCACCAAATATATTATAACAAATGCTTATGTGCCATAATTCTTTTCATCCAACTTATCAATACGGTATTTAGTTTAGGATGATGCCATTGTAAAGACAATGAATGCAATAGCAACAAATGACAAGATTATTTAATCTCAACAAAACTTATAGTAACTATAGAAGAACAATTAACAATTGTTGTATAAAGTACAATAATAGAAGGTAGTGATACCAAGTTATGATTGAGCAAAATAACACTCCTTCAATACTAATAGTATTGACAGATTAATTTAAATAGAAAATAAAATCTGCAATAGTAGCTTGGTTCAACAATAAGACAAGACTCTATTGGTATTATGATTGCAAGGCTTTGACAATAGCAAGATGGCAATAGTTCATTTGCAAAAGTTTTTCATCTATAAAATTCATCCAATAGACTTCATTTATAACACTTATTCATCCATGACTTTGATATCATATTACAAAATAGACATTCATTCATGATGCAAACACAAATGCACCAAAAGAAGGGAGAAGTGATACTTTTTGGAATTTCTATTATATGCTAGACAAGTCCTAGCTTGTAGTACAAATCATATAGTACTATTCAATATTATCTTCTAAAACTAATAAAAACTAACAAAAGTATTGTGTCTTCAATTTGTTTCCATACACTACCTAAGAAATAATTTAATGACACAACTCTATACTCTAAAAACTTTGTATGTAGGTGAAATTCTATTAGGCTCTATTAATTTGTGAATTGAAGCTTGAAACGCAATTGCTAGAACACATGATTACTTGAATATTTAATAGTAATCAATGATGAAAAGATAAAAAAAAATAAACTATTCTATTTATCATATTCACAATTTTTTTTACAAATTTACCCACTTTCAAGCATAAAAAATATTCTTACAAATTTATTATCATACAAATCACCAAACGCTTTAATTAGACAATTCTAAAAGTAATTATAAAAAACATGAAAATATCATAATCATTCACATAAAAAATAATTGCAAGATGATATTCAAAATACATTTTCATATGAAATTGTTATAATTACAAAAATAATACATGAATATACATTGCATTAAATACAATATGTATGTGAATTATTTAAGAATTCAAAGTTCTTAAAAGAATATTTTTTGAAAAGGCAATCTTTGATTGTTACCAAGACCAAAAACGAAAAATAACAATTAAAAAGTCAATTGTTTGATGTTAAATTTCCATTTAGGATTAATATCCATCAAACAATTAACCAAGAGATGCAACATTACTAATTATATGTAAAAATAACATGAAATTGCTTTACCACATTACTTAAGCAATGCTTGTGAATAAACATGAAATTAAAGAAAATTATTGATGGACAGAGGTGATATTCACGAGCACAAATATTCTGAACACTTCTCAATATGTGCATATTATGCCTGACATGCTAAAACTTGACTAAAAATGAGTTGGAATCAGAAAGATTCAAAATAGCAAGCACTTCTTACTTAAACCACACAGCCATCACATTTGATCTCCCATTAGAATTTAATCATGTGCGATGTATGCAGGCACAAAAAATCTACCCGTAACTTAAATGCAATGATAGTACAAGTTTAAGGAACCCTATCAAAAGGTTGGGTATCATTATAACATGTATTCCAAACCCTGTCAATAGCTGATGTTGCTCGAAGCATTGAGCAATTTGGATTCAGGCCCACGCTTATAAGTGCCCGCCTTCTCACACATATCTGTCAAATGCCACCAATCACCAACCGTTTGGATCACCAAAATCACTATTAATCTGAAGTGAAGCTACAGAACAGAAAGATGGGCGACGAGAGGACAAACAATCCCTAAAAGTGTCTGAACAAGTACAGATTCATAAATCTTTGACGACAGGTGCTCTAAAAAGCCACTGAGTTTTCAATAAAAACATAATATTTCAAATTATTCGGAATGTACCTGATGTTGCTTTTGAATATTTGTATTCCCCCGCAGTAGTTCCCGTTTCCATGCGCAATCTCCACTCAAATTAGCTGCTCGAATCTACATAAAGTAACAAGCTATTACAATCTTTAAGAGATCAAACTAGCTGCAATAATTGTTCACTTAATCAGAGCATATCAGAAGATGTATTTGAAGACCAACCTGTTGATGTAACACATGTTCGTAAAAAATAGCACTTATCATGACAAGAAGAATAATTAGACATCAATGACTAAACCAAGGGATTAAAAGCAGAATGCTCGAATCAATGAGTTGAGAAGTGCACCTCACTACAAGCATGGTGCTCACAATTACTCCAGTCCAGATTAGCAGCTCGACAATGGTCATAAGCATGTAGAAGTTCATGAGTCAATGCAACATCCACCTCCTCTTGATGAGTCACATTATTGCTGCAAATCACTACCTGCAATTGCAATAAATTATAAACCTAAAACCCCTAGACTCTACACCTTAACTGACAGTCTCACAAGAAACTTCCAAATAAATACGACAGTAAAAGTAACGACAATGATCTAAAACCTATGCAGGAGTGTAACAGATCTGCAATTCACAAACTCCCCTACTACAGTGGTCCAGGACGTAACAAGAAAGATAGACTAGAGATTGAATGAGGGAGACTGAGACGTGATACATCCCTCAACAAAAAAACAAGTAACACCATAGAATAGAATTCTACTCACTAGAAACAATCATACTTTTTCTAGCAAGGATACGAGATGAATGTGGTCTCAACATGATGTCAATGCCTCAGCAATATCGTGTTTCGACACACACAAGGCAGGCAAATGCCAGCTTGCATCAGGTAATACGTGCATATTACACATCCTTGGCATTAAAATCCAAACTATGACCAATATAAACACAACAGATGTAAATAAGAAACAAATAAATGTACAGCACCACATCTATTGTAGAAATCATTAACACGCGAATACAGTCACCTAAGATAGGGTATGAGAGAGCGACTTCAACCCATCATCCACAGTGTTTACTACTCAAAAAAGGTTGACCACCTTCTGAACAAAGAATATTGACGATGACCGCCAGAAGCGGATTAAGAAACAGAGAAGATGTTAAGGACCTGACCCCCTCATCCTGTTTGAATCCGCCCGCAACTTTCATAGAACATTGTTCGATTTTAAAGAACTTTTCGTCTATTGGGCAACCCGATTTGGTAAGAGCTTCGCGCAAGAACTTCACCGTCGGATCTGCATAGACAGAACACACTTGACGAAATCAGAAACACGAACTAATAAGTTCCAATTCAAGGAAGTTCCTGTTGAGTGAGAAGACCAGCCACGCTGTTCTGCAACTTGCGAACCATAAACCCTAAACCCTGCGCATGACTGTAACCGAGAAAGCAAAAAGGGGCATCGAATTTCAGAGAAATGTTCAAGCTAAGCATTCCACCAGGAAGCTGGAAAGTGAAGGGGACGGCGCGAAAACGAACTGCGAGAAAGAGAGAGGCTGATCATGCGCTGGCAATTTTCCGGCGTGGTGCCGGCAGGGTAACCATCCCTGCCACTCGCACTGGTAGCATCGTCCATTGCTCCCATTTCGCGAAGGATAAAAAGCTTCAATTCATGCTTCTTCCCCTGGTCCCGGTTTTTCGTTCCTTGCAACTCACTTCAAGGCTCGGTCGATCAATAGAAGGCAGCAAATCTGTCAGCCTACTACTGCCCCACCAAAACCCTACTCACACAAAAAGCTAAAACCATGACGAGGGATCAGAACGCACCGTCGAATGAATGTGGTACTCTTGCCCGGCGTCGAGGGTAGTGCTCGCGGGTATCAACGTTCCTTCTCTGTGAGCTTCGCTGATTCACAACGACGTTGCTCTTCATGCGATTGATTGATTGAGTCATGACTTGGGATTTCTAAAACTTCATTTTGAAGTTTTCCTAGAAAATTGGATGATAACACAATGAGATGTTCTTGTTTCTAAAAAAGATGATAGGATGCATTTATGTGTAATAAAACTCAAACTACCTTTGTTAATCAATAGAAAATTCATTGTATATATATATGTATATGTATATACACATACATATTTATCTATTTTTAGCTTTAAAATAAAATTTAAATATTAGGTTTTTTTATTTCATATGGTATTTTTCTTATTAGAAATAGTAAAGCATGTCTATAAACACTCATTTTTTTAAAATGGTTTTTAATTATTATATTCTATTTGTATTTTTAATTCATCCAAAATTATTAATTATTTTGTATCTTGTTGAAATATTTCAATAAATGAGAAAAGAGAAAGCTGTCCAACTTCTCAGATTGATATCAAAAACCACATTCCATGATCTTTTGAAATATTACATAATATCCACTTTCTAAGACATTTATTATAATTTTTAAAATTTTATTTCAATTTTTTTGTTGTAATGCTCTTTTATACACAAAAACTATTTTAACAATTAATACCTATCTTCTTTGTATATATTTAGAATTTTATTTTTTTAATATATTACTTCTAAAATAATAATAATAATAATAATAATAAAAACAAGGAGATCTAATGTTATATATATATATATATATATATATATATATATATTAAGGAAAATATTAAATTGACCCCACTAGCCATTAATTCAATCTATCCATCATCAAAATGATTGAAAACTACATCATTATCTAATGATGTTAATATCCATCTGAATATTCAATTGAGAATTAGATTGTCAAGGTATAACATGTCATAGTAAATATTATTGGCTATATAATTGGATTAATCATGATAAATATGCATATAAATATAATATATTTGTAAATACATGACTAGTAAAATAATTAAAATTTGATAAATATAATAAATAATAACATTGGTTTCATAATAATTAAATTGGCTAATTTATTGCTACTTCAAATTTACACCATTATTTTTTAATCTTCTTCTGCTATCATAATTTTAGTTGTAAGACTTTATACTTTGATATTTTTTTATCTAAAGAAGAAGACACTTGACATTTTAGTATTCTTCCATTCCAAAATGAAAATCCCTATGGATATAAACCTTCCACCAAAGGAATTATTTGCTAAATACAAAGAAATAAAGAGATGCTTAGATTGATTTTTGCATGCCTAAAAATATGTAATTTTATCAATGTCGCTTTGACAGGGGTCGTGTTGTCTTTAAATACAATAAAAGTCATACTTACAATAGATTTGAAGCAAATTCTTGTCAACATAATTTAACTACAAGGATAACAAGTACTCTTTTTAATTGTATGCTTGTCATTTGTATATTGATAAATACTAGCATTTATTGGTTCAAAAAGAAAGTAATAACTATAGTCTTTTGGTATTACTAGCATATTATTTAGTTGTTCATTACCTCCAATTTATACAAATAGCTTTAATTACTCAATGCTTATTATATTGGTAGCTCCAAGAAATATTGTTATTACTTCATATCAAAGAGACTCTATAACTCTTGTAGTTGCATGCACTTTCTACAATGAATGCTTATACCTTTATGCTACTTATCTTCATGGTTTTTTGCATATTCATAATTTGATGGAAAATATTTGCAATGCTACATATCTCTATGGCTATAAATGTGATGAGACAAACAAGCTTAGTTGTCTTTTTTATGTTCATTCTTGATATGCAAAAAGGTATCTAAACAATATAATTATGGATTACATATACAAAACAAATAAATTTAGGATGTCCATAGTACATGTTGTGGATGTTACAAGTTTCAATACATCCTTTACAATTGCAATTACATTTTTTAAAGAAAAAACATGATTACTTTTATATTAGATATTGATTCAATTTGTACTATCTTATGGAGAATTGTGGCCTATCAACATTGATATTGACAAAGACTTGGTACTCATAAATGCCATCAAAGATGTTTTTTCTATATCTAAGATCCATCTTTGTATTAATCATATTCAAAAGAACATTTTAGTCAACTATAATAAATTATCTTTATCCAAAAAAGATAATGGTTGATATATTTTTCTTGCAATATAGACAATAGTAACGAAGTTTACTTTAGATAAGGTTTTTGACAAACAATGGATGAACTTTTGTATTATATATACTTTTTTTCTTATAAAGGAAGTTATTGCATGTCATGAAAAAAATATAAATTTTTCACAAAAAATAATTTGTTGAATTCTAAATAAATAGTACTTTTTACTTTAGCAACATTTCTATATTGCATGTGGAAGAGCAACAGTGTGCCTTGAATTTGTACATCAAGTTTTCTACAAAAGATCTTTGTCATGTACAAATTTCTTTGACTTTGTTTTTTGAAAAGACAACTAGAGGAATTAATGCTTAAGACAATTCTGAGCATCTGCATATACACCACTATTACAACATCAAATTTTCAAGAATGTTATTATTAAGATGTTGATGCAGACATTTAATTTCATATTTGAGTAATTTTAATTAGCTATAATATCTTTCCACAATAACAATAGTACATTTTTAGGCATATTTATAACCACACTTAATTTTCTTTATCAATGTTAAATTAGAAAAAAAGTTTGATAGTCAATGATTTCCATATTCAATATTTTTTGGTCAACTTATTAATTTTTATGTCATACTCCACCAATAGTAGAAGATGCGCAAGAGTTGACAACAATGAATAATTCACCCAAAAAATCATCCATGTAGTTCAAAAAATATAAAAAATACAAATTCTAAATAATAAAATTTATTATAATTTGAACATGTCAAAGGCATAAGTAGAAATGTGTACTATTCTAAAAATTCCAAAAGCATTGGGCATTACATCTAGACTTTTTTTTCTTACAATGTTCATACTTCACAATCTTTTTCTTTTATATAGTTGATTAAATTGAGTTCATTGCACATTATTTTAATTTATCACCAATTGATTTGGATTTTTCTCAAATAGACTTGGATCAATAGTAGAGGTGTTTTAATCTTATATGAACATACTTCATGTTCATAGTGATTTGCTAATATTAAGGATATAAATTTTAAAGAATTAAAAAATCAATATATTCTTGTATTACTCAAAAATACTAAAAAATCACTTCATGATGGTATAATATTTAACTAGAATGACTTTTTTCAAAGACAAGAAGATTAAAAAGTCTTGAAAAAAGATTTAAGATTAGAAAGGTGTTGATAAGAATGAAGGTGGCTTCACTCTTACTTCTATATATACTATCTAGCTAAAAGTTACATGATAACATTCTATATGACCTTTGATACATATTCAATTTGTAAGACATGTTCTTTACTTATAAGATAAGTTTCCTATATGTACACCTTATAGTTAGCTTATTCTACAAACTATTAATACATGTGACACAAAGCTAATTTATTTTCCAAGTTTCTAATCTTTCATGTCTAAAGTCAAATATGTATCTTGAATCTTTTAAAAAGCTTTGCCACAAGATAATATCAAATCTACATATATTTATTTTCTACCTTATATTTCTTATTTAAGTAAAGATATATGTCCATGATAAGTAGTTAAATAATTTGAATAGAAGATTAAAATAGAATTATACTAAAAGAAGTTAATTTGCTTAGTTTTTTGCTTTTATGCTAGTAGAAGTATGTGTACTTATGCAAATAGATGTGATTTGTATTCAAGTGCATATACATTAAATTAATGCTTAAAAAAACCATATTTATTCCTTCATCTTATCACCTCTTTGCTTGATATCCACAACCATGTCTCTATTTTTTTTTTTGTTACAAATACATAAAATTTTTAGTCTATAAGATCAATTGTTACTTCTTTTCAGTATGTCAAAGAATCAATACAATTTTGTCGACATAGTTTGTAGTAGTTATCTACACATTATCTAGTATTTTAAAATATACTCATTTCAAAAAAATGATAATCTTTCTTTTAAACAAGATTTAGTTTCATTAAATAACACAAATTCATATAAGATTGATATCAAAAAGCTTTATTCAAAAGTACATATTTGATAGATAGGTTTATAAATAAATTAAAAGATAATATACAAATCAAATTTTATTGTTTTATTTTTTTATCAAAAAAAAATCTTCAATTTAAGTTCTTAGCCTTAAACAACTCTTGTATACATAGTCTTTTTGTTACATATTTAATTCACAATTACTTATTACAGATATTTTACTAAAAATAATCTTGTATAATAAAGAATATCAAATTTAGAAGTTATAATAAAGAAATTTTTTATAAATACAATCCTTCAAATATTCAAGTTTGATCCTTGTAAGAATCTAACATTGTAAATCAAAATTTCATCTAGAAAAAGATCATTTCAACCTATAACTCTACATGATACATAATTTAAGCCCATACTTGATTCTATTAGTATAATTACTTGGGCTCATAGCATTGTGTACTTGGCTGATTTAAATAGGCCTTTCTATTGGCATGATCTTGTGCAACATCACTCCATGCATGGACATAGACTTCTATGCTTAGTTGCTCATACATAGATATCTTTGTTTGAATACATTATTGAACTTCATCTTAAAACTCATCATATATTAGTATTAAATTGTATTACCTACTATGATAATATATAAGACCACTACTACTTGGCCACTAATACTTTTAAGAATTATAAATCTAAAACATTCAATAACAAATAGTAGTAGATGGTAAGAATGTAGGACAAAGCAAAAGCAATATGATATTGAAGTTATTAGAGAGGATTTTTTTGCTCATCCTTACATCTGATATTAAAATTTAAGCTAATAAAATTAAGATAAATGAGAAAAAAT